TAATGCTACATTTCTGCACTCAAGGGATCAACAGTTTGAGCCGTGGAGGAAGAGTTAATTCTTCCATGTTCAACTCTTTCCCCCTCCGAGAACGAACTGCCCAAAACTAACCGATGCGAAGTAGCTGCGCCCACTAAAGAATTTGAGCTTGTCCCCTTGCTCAGCGCAGAGAAGCAAGTGAGCATATACACTAAGTTGGGGGCCGCTGACAGGGAGGAGCTCATCTCTTTCCTTAGGGCGAACTTGGACGTGTTCGTGTGGTCTCACGAATACATGTCCGACATTGATCCAAAAATAATGGTTCATCACCTCAACATCGATCCATCATTCCGACCTGTCAAGGAAAAAATAAGACCTGTAAATAACGACAGGAGTGACGTAATTGTTGAGGAAGTGAACAAATTGCTTAAGGCCAAGTACATAAAAGAAATTCTATATCCCGAGTGGCTCTCTAACGTTGCCTTAGTTAAAAAATCTAACGAAAAATGGAGAATGTGCGTAGACTTCACCAATCTTAATAAGACCTGTCCAAAAGATTATTTTCCACTGCCGAGGATCGACCAGCTCGTAGACGGTCAGGCACGAGTCGCTCATTTTCATGGATGCCTACTCCGGATTAACCAAATTAAGATGCACGAACCAGATCAAGTCCACACCTCATTCATAACCGATCAAGGCGTCTACTGTTATAAGGTCATGCCTTCTGGCCTGAAGAACGCAGGGGCAACTTATCAAATGATGGTAAACAAAATGTTCATCAATCAGATCAGACGCAATATGAAGGTATATGTGGACGATATGCTAGTAAAAAGCAAGCAGTCCAAGTCACACCTGGCCGACCTGATCAAGACCTTCAGAGTCTTTCGAATGTACTGTATAAAGCTCAACTCGGCCAAGGGTGCCCTTCGAGTTTCATTTGGGAAGTTTCTTGGGTTTATGGTGAATAACCGAGGAATAGAAGCCAACCAGAGAAGATAAGGGTCGTGCTCGACATGCAAGCCCCAAAAGCTCTCAAGCAGTTGTAATACCTTAACGGTACGATTGTTGTCCTCAATAAGTTTGTCCCAGATCCATGGATAAATGCGCTCCTTTCTTCAAAGTGCTGAGGAAGAAGGGACCTTTTGAGTGGACAGCCAAGTGTGAGATGGCCTTCGAGGAGCTCAAGAGTTATCTCTGCTTGGCCCCGTTACTCGCGAAGTCCATGCATGGAGATAAGTTACATTTCTATTTGGCCATGTTCGACAATACAGTCAGCTCAGCCCTAGTCAAGTAAGACGGAGTGCATCAAAGTCCTGTTCATTACACAAGCAAGGCCGTGACTGAGGCCGAGACCAGGTATCCTCAAATGGAGAAACTGGCCCTCGACTTAGTCACCTCGGCACGCAAGCTGAGACCGTACTTCCAAGCCCATACCGTGACTGTACTCACAAACTTGCCCTTGAAGCAAGTTTTCCATAAGCAAGAGACATTTGGCCGCTTAATGAAGTGGGCCGTGGAGTTGAGCGAGAACGACAACCAGTTCGAACCCCGAACAGTTGTGAAGGGGCAAGTCGTCTCAAACTTCATAGCAGAGCTCACCCCACCACCGGCTCAAACCGCCGAGTCCAACATGTCATGGACCATGTATGTCGACGGATCCTCTAATGAGAGAGGAAAGGTGTGCTCCTCCTTGCCCCAAATGGCTTGCGCTTTGAGTATGCCCTGGGCTTTAATTTTCGCACCTCAAACAATGAGGCTGAGTACGAAGCTCTTTTGGCCGGGCTACGCATGGCAAGGGGACTAGAAGCCAATCGATTACAAATTTTTAGCGATTCCTAACTGTCAGTGAATCAAATCAAAGAAGAATACCAGACGAAAGATCCTCGGAGGGAGAAGTACTTGGGAAAGGTCAGATCGCACCTCACACACTTCCAAACTTACGAAATCAGCCAGATTCCAAGGTTAGAGAACTCCAATGCCGATGCCTTAGTCAATTGGCATCTGCCTACGAGACCAACCTGGCAAGATCGGTCCCGGTGGAGATCTTGGATAATCCTTCTATCTTGGAACCAGATATGATGGAAATCAATTCCCAGCCTCCATCGTGGATGGACCCAATCAGGGACTTCCTAGCAGGCAATGTTCCAGTAGATCCCAAGGAAGCAAAAAAAATGTCGAGGAGGACAGCTCGGTACCTGCTCCGAGACGGAACTATGTAGCGGCGTGGATTCTCCTTACCCCTTCTCAAGTGCATGTCCAAAGAAGACGGGAATTATGTTCTGAGAGAGGTACATGAAGGAGTCTGTGGCAACCATTCAAGGGCCAGGTAATTATTGGCCAAAGTCATTCGTTAGGGTTATTATTGCCCATGGTTGACCAAGACGCAAAAGAGTTCGTGAAGGCGTGTGACAACTACCGGCGCTTCGCGAACATCATCCATCAACCTCCCGAAATGCTGACTATGATTTCTGCTCCATGGCTCTTTGCACAATGGGGAGTGGATCTAATCGGACCCTTCTCATTAGGCAAGGGATAGACTAAGTACGCCGTTGTAGCTATGGATTATTTCACTAAATGGGTCGAGGCCGAGGCACTCTCCACAATTACGGAAGCTCGGGTCACGACCTTCATTTGAACAAATATTGTGTGTCGCTTTGGCATATCCAATGCCATCGTGACAGACAATGGCAAACAATTCGACAACCCAAAATTCAAGGATTTCTACTGCAAGCTCGGAATCAGTCATCTCTGTTCATCCCCGGCTCACCCCAAAGCCAATGGACAAGTAGAGGCGATCAATAAAATTATCAAACGCCACCTTAAGCTATGGCTGGATCCGAGGAAAGGCAGGTGGGTCGATGAGCTACTCGTAGTGTTATGGTCCTACCGAACCACACCGCGGGAGTCCACTAGCGAGACTCCCTTCGGAATGGCCTTTGGCTCTGAGGTCGTGGTGCTTGTGGAGATTGGAATGCCATCCGAGAGGATAGAATACTATGAGCAGACAAAGATCGGGGAAGAGGTACTCCTCAATCTCAACCTCCTCGATGAAAAAGGGAAACAACCCAACTACGCCTAGCGGAATATATCAAAATCGAATGGCCAGACATTACAATGCCAGAGTTCGACCTCGACGCTTCCAGGTCAGACATTTAGTCCTACGGATAATACAAAAGCATGTTGACACACTGGAACCAAGTTGGGAGGGGCCATATGAAGTTAAAGGCATAGTCCGACCTGGGACATATATGTTGGCCGATCTCGAAGGAAAGTTACTCTTTCATCCGTGGAACGCAGAGCACTTGAAGTGATATTACCCTTAAAATGTTGAAATGCTCCAAAGATGAATTAGACTTGTAAAAATTTTCAAGGGCTAATCCCAGTAAAGGACTCCCTGATATTTAATTTCATGTCTCCTATGGGTATGAGTTCGATGTGAATTTAAATGAGGGCTAGGAGTGAGATAAAACTTAGAAAAAATTCAAACCTTTGGAACATACGAGTTCGAGGTGAGATGTGGATTAAAACTTAGAAGAATTCCAACCCCTAGAACTTGCGAGTTCGAAGTACGATGTGACAAAATTAAAGATAAATTTTAGGAGGAAGATAGTGCATTTAATAATCAAAAGCTTGAGCTGAGATGTATGAACCTCGAAGACCCAGTACATGAACGTAAAAAACAAAGAAAGTACAAAGATTCAGAGCGATCTGAGAAAGTAGGAAAAGTTTGAGCGCATCAGCTGCTACCGAGGTGCGACCCGAGTTCACCTTGGGACCTAAGGATGTCAAGTTCCTGAGAGTCCACCATCCCAACCTCTTAGGAGGAGTTCACTTCAGTAGCAGGTAGGGGGGTCCCGTCGACTTCTTGGGAAGAGAGGCCGGCACCTTCCTCTTCAACGAGCTCGTCGTCAGACTCAAGCTCCTTCAAGCATTGGTCCACAAAGTCTTGGGTGTCAGGAGCTCTATTGGGACATGAAGCCCACTTCTGGGCATACCTGAGCTTGATGGGCTCGAGATCAAGCTCGGGAGCCACCTCCTTGACTCCCTTCATCAAGAACTTGAAGCCAGCATCATTGAAGTCCTTGGCGAATCCGTCGAAGTCAGGATGCTGGCGAAAAGCCTCTTCCAATAGCACCCTGTCGCTAAACTTGGACCTCTAGAGCTCGAGCGCGGCTTTTAACCCCTCCACCTCAGAGTCTCAGGCCCATAGATTCTCCTCGACATTTCTACACTAAGGTTCGATCTTGAACCTCATCTCAATGTCCGAGGT